TGATCTTTCCTGAAAAAAACATAAAACAAGTCTCAGTGGAAAAGCAAATCAATATCTTGACATATACACATCGCTTATACTAATCATCGGCTAAATCACAACAGATTAATGTACTTACAAACTTTAGACCGATCTAATGTAAAATAGTTCTTACATAAGCGCTCATCTTTGGCCATGGTCCCTCATCGAATGCCTTACGAGCAGCAGCTACTGCACGATTAATATCTTCTGCATCACCCGCAGCCACATGAGCAATCACTTCTCCTGTACGAGGATCGTATGTTGGAAATGTTTTTCCTGGCCAAAAGAATTTTCAAACATTAGCTCGATTACATGTTTTTTGTAAGTTCCAATTAGTCCAACACTTCCTGAAAAACAAAGGGATGGAATGCAAATTTTTGTTAAATGAGGAAAAAGATTACCTGATGCAGCATCAACAAATTGGCCATTGATTAGATGCTGAGTGTGACTTATTTGAACAGGTGGAATGATTAATTCCTCAGTTGCTGCGGCAGTGCTAAACCTGTTGACCCTTCTCCCTGAAGATCATATGAAGAATAGTTTTCATCATATTAAATAAAAGAAAATTAAAGACTTAATGCATCTTTGGCTAAATGCATATGGTGGTATTTCAAAATATCAATCTTGCATCAAATTCCATAATCCCATGAATCATATATTTTGCATTCTGTACATAGTAAGTTGAGTCATACGATCAGCGTTTTCTGTCATTCAGTTTCCACCATACTACAACATAAAAGAGAGAGAGAGAGAGAGAGAGAGAGAGAGAGAGAGAGAGACCAAATAAAAGACACAGAATTTTATTTACATGATCTCTTCTTTCTTTCTTTTTCTTTTTTTATTGAACAACTTATATGATTTCAGTTAAAGTTGCACATCCAGTTGGGTGTTATAACATCTTCTTTTTTTCTTTTTTTCATCAGGAGGATTTTATATCACTGACTTTTCATTTCTGGGGGATTCAACTTTTATAAAGATTCCTGTTGGTAGTGATATAAATGTATAATTGCACAAACACACACAGCCAAATTTGGAATCTGATATCTGTTTGGTGCCAGAGAAAAACAAGTTTAACAAAATATCAAATTTTGGAATCTGATAATCACTTCCTATATGAATGAAAAAAACAAAAAGAGAGAAAGGAAGAAGAAAGTATCAGATCAAAATCCAGCTTTGATGTAGCACTATATCAGTCAGCTAAAAGAGCTTATCATAGAAATCCAATTTCTATAAGACTCTTCAGAATTTCATTTCTGCCAATCCAAAGAATGAAAACCATGAAAGCATATAAACACAGACAAAGAGGTTAAAGTAGTGCATGACAATTAATGAACACCATGGCAGAGAACAAAGAAAACCCATTAATGATGAAATCTAAACAGAAGACTAAATAAAACATAATTGAAAAAAATTCGAAGTACAAAAGGACAAAGGTGGGGGGGTGGTGGTGTCACCTTGAGAGAGAAGCAGAGAAGCAGACCCAGAAGAAGAAGAAGAAGAAGAAGCAGAGAGAGAACGAGAGAGTAAGCAAGAGAGTCTCCTAGCTGCCATATCCACAGAGCTAAGACTACCTCAAACTCAAACCCTTATCCTGTATATTCCTTTGTGATAAAAACAGAGTCCTCTGTTCTGGCTGAAAAGTTTCTCAGAGACCAAACAGCTCTCTCTCTCACCGAGTGACTGACCCTAAGGTCCTTTGGCGTTATATACCAAATGAATTGAAAAAAAATTATAAAAAGAAAAAAGAGACTGATATTTTAACATATATTTCTAACTTTCTTTAAAAACAAATCTGAAGTGCCACCCTCCTAAAGATAATGAGCCAGCCAAGCAAAGCACCCAAGATGGACTTCTCAACAAAAACCAGAAACACACGAAATAATCAGTTCATATGTCAGAAAAGAATTGATTCTGATTGATTCTGAATTTGTTACGCTCTTTTTAATATTGATTATCTTTTCCCATACACGATTTTTGTGGATTGATTCAAAGTGGATTGGCCTATATATAAAATAAATATTCTTCACTTGGGTTCATCGTCACTTGGAGTATCATGCAGCCAACTATATTTCCCGAGTTCCAACTCCTACTCTTTTGTATATTTTTTAGTAGGGTTATGCTACCATTTTCCAGTTATTGTGTACCAACTTCTAAATAAGCTACGTTTATCACCTTCCCTTTACACATTACACTTTTTGTTAGCAAATAAGAAAAGTAAAAATACAACAACTTATTTCTTTTTAATTGTTGACTATTTGTATGAGCCTTTCCTTTTTCAAAAAATGAAAAGGTGCATAAAATGATTTGTATTATGGGATGGGACGTTTGCAATGAATGACCTGAAAATTATCAACACACTACTTGAATGGAAAATTTTTACCATGGTGATAAAAAAAACTGGTTGGTGCTAACGGTCTAGCTTAGTGTAAAGGGACTTGCAAACTAGTGGGTTTGTGATCGAACTTCATGGCATATTGATAGATAGGAGAATTTATCAAAAATAGCCAAAATTGGAACTCTCATTTCAAAATTATCATTTTTTGTAAAATATTTCAAATATAGCAAAAATCTCACTTAAATAGACACAAATGTCCTCAAATTTAAAACCCACAAATTACATACAGTGTGTACAAGAGAACACACTCGCATCAAAAGCAACCCAAGTAAACTAAGAGTATCAATCCAGCACAACATCAGTAAAATAGCTAATACTTAATAATCTGCAATATGTAATCTGCATCATACAAAATCTAGCCTTCCACACCATATAAAAAACTTTGATAAATTTGGAATTACAAAGAGATTAGAATGCTAAATTGAAAATGAATGGTGGAGCAAGTAAGAAACAACTATGCCACTGCTAACAATATTATCAAGTATTTTGCATATTTTTTAACCACCAAAAAAAACTAAATCAGATTAATAAAATAGGAATCCCATGATAAATTCCAGAACGCTGCTCCTAGAAAATTACAAACTAAAATGCAAATTAATATAAAAGGGAAGAAAAAACCATAGAAGTTAGGCAAGGAAGAAGAAATTGAACGAAGAATCAAGGAAGAACTACACTCATCGTTTGACTAGGGCAGTAATACGTCTGCAAATGTACGTAGAAAGATTCCTAATCTAATAGAGTTTTCTTTTTTAGGTTTATGTGGGTTTTAAATTTGAGGGCATTTGTGCTATTTAGATAAATTTTTTTGCTATATTTGAAATATTTTACAAAAACTGACATTTTTGAAATTATGGGTCAAGTTTTGGCTATTTTTGATAAATTATCGATTGTGATAGTGTGTATGTGAAAAACTGTGACATCCCACATCGACCAACGGAAAGGGGGTGATGTGCCTTATATGTACATGTCCACCTTCATTTAGCACGAGGCCTTTTGAGAGCTCATTGGCTTCGGATTCCATGGGAACTCCGAAGTTAAGCGAGTTTGGGCTAGAGCAATCCTAGAATAGGTGACCTACTGGGAAGTTGCTCATGAGTTCCCAAAGCAGACAATATCATGCTACGGCGGAGCCGATTTGGGATGTGACAAAAACTCATTCCCCTTAGCTTATATTTAAAATTAAAAAAAAAATTGGTGGTGGGTTACTGTTAATTACTTTTTCCCTCAAAGGGAAAAGCAAAAGGAGGAAGGAAAGATAGGGATATTGGAGAACCTCCACCCCAAAGGGCAAGGGAAAAGCAAGATTTGTCACTATTCAAGTGAATTGTGGTAGCCCTTACCTTTTTTGTTTCCACCCCAAAGGACAAGAGTAAAGGCAATTACTATTCACATGAGATATGAGGAGATGAATTTGTATAGAATTTTTGATGTGGAAAGTAAAGAATACGGCTATTTATTTATTTATTTATAAATGGAATTTTTGGTTTTTTTTTAATATAATATTTTTTCAATTTTTTTGGTTACTAATGTCATTATTACATCAACATTTTGTCATTTTGCCCAGGCAGTAGCTCGGCTGAATTTGCCCGTGGGCTTGCCTGAGCTCATGGGACCCAACCCTTGCCCGGACTAGACTTGGCGCACTAGAGTTGCAATTGGCCCTTCCCTTGGACCCCCTCCTGCCCTAATAATTCACATGCGGTGGACTTGCACTTAAGATAAAGGATCTCCAAGAAAAATGGGTGAGCAGGTGCCAAAGATAAGAAAAATGAGTGAGTAGGTCCCAAAGATCCTTTTATTTAGAACGTCATTGTCATTTGGTGGATGGTTGGTTCGTATATCAAACGCATATCTTGTCTTGTTACTTATTTACATGGAAATGGCACAAGCCATGATTACCTTTCTTTTCATTCTTGATAATGTTTTCTTCAAGTTGGCCCATCTTATAAATTTTGGTTGAAAATAAAATATGTAAATTAAGATGTTTTCTTTTGGGGGAAATTGATATGGGTGATGATTTTAGCACTCTCAAATCACAATTAAATTATCTCATTAACTTCTCATTTGCGAGTAGCAGAAAGATGTAAAAGGTTTGAAATTTAGAGCCCGCAAGAGCAACCCACTAGATTTGAAAAATAAAGACCTGGAAACAATTCACAAATGCACACAATCAATCTCAGTGAGTCAATGCCTATCGAATCAGGGTGTTGGCGTTGCCAAACTTTCAACGTAAATTGTTGGTCAAACTTAAAACCCCAGCAACTAATGACCAGACACAAATATAATGCCAATGCCATTTGCATTTCCACCTTCATAATTCTTCATCAAGATTCTATTCAAAGGCCTTTGGAGCCCAATTTTCCACCACAGCATTCAATACCTCATCCAAATGGATTGGCGGTGGTGGTGGCATTGCCTTGTCAATACCTCATCTTTTGAAAAAGACTATCAGATTTATTATTTTAAAAGAGGAAAAAAGAAAAGAGAAAAAAAAATTATTTGGGCCTTGGTCAGTTTTTGTTACAAGCCTTGGTCCTAACTAATAATGGTCTCTCATCTGACTTGGAATATTTTTTCGCCGCGGCTCAGGTGGGAACTCCTTTTTGCGAACCCCTATTTGCTGCTTCATCTCAGCCATCAAAGTAATCTCAACGGCTGGAAAGAAAAAGAGAGCTTACAATAGAAATGGGTACGCTGCAATTCCCCTTAAGGCACGTATCCTGGCACGCCTTTTCAAATCCCGCCTTTTTCCATCCAATCGCGCCTATTTTTTTCGGACTCCCTCTTTTTCCTCTCAGACAAATTCTCCTCTCTCTCTCACCTGTTTATTCTCTCTGTGAGTGGCGATTAGGTTAGGGTTGATAACAGTTACTGTTCACGTTTTTCCCATCTCCTTCACCTCCTCCACGCACATAGTACCCATACACCGACATCGCCTCCCTCAGACATCTATGAATCCCAAGAAAATCTTTAAGTTTTTAGAATTCTAACCTTCAAATATATTTCATAAAATCCTAATTTTAATTTTTTGTGTTCATTCTCTCTCACGACTGCCTTCCTTGCCCGCCAGTGTAGGAGGTAAAGTGAGGGGCCTTGGCTCTGTCTTGGGCCTGTTTCCCTGTTACTTGGATCTGTTACTCTATTTTGCTGTTTCAGTGAGCTTTTGTTGTTGTTTGGGATCGTAAGATGTTTTTCCGTAGACTAGTTTTGGCCTCGACGGCTCTCTTTCTCGCCGGCGCTCTCTTTCTTGATGTCTCTCTCTCTCTCTCTCTCTCTCTCTCTCTCTGGTTCGCTCGGTCTCGCGCTCTCTCTCCATGGGAGCCTCCCTTCCTCCATGGATCCATAGGTAACAACTGTCCTTCCTTCTCTTATTATTATTTTCTATGTTTTTTGAAAATTCAATTTCTATGCCCCTAATTTGATTTAGGGTTAAAATGTTTGGGTATTTAATTGTAAATTATCTGTGAAAATCATTATTTTTTTGTATATATTTTCGGTATTTAATTGTATAATTATCTGTAAATTATGACTGTCAAATTCCCTTGAAGTTCCATTTTTTGATCAAATTAGGCACTTTTCAGTTCAGTTGTTGGTTTTTTAATGCGAACCTACACTGAGTTTTGCCCGTGCAATTTCATCATTCACATTTAGGAAACCCTGACTGTCTCTCCATCTCTCTCTCGCCGGCTCTGTCTTTCGACTGGTCTCTCTCGCCGTCAAACCTTCCTCTATTCCATAGGTAACAAATGTCCTTCGTCCTCCTAGAATTATTTTCTATAATTTTTGAAAAATCAATTTATATATCCCTAATTTGATTTAGGGTTAAAATATTTGTGTATTTAATTGTAAATTATATGCGAAATCATTATCTTTTTCTATATATTTTCGATTTACATAGAAATATTAGTGATTATATGTGGATATGCGTTTGTTCCTCAATTGTTTATGAGATTCTAAATCAGATGTCCTGTTGTTTGTGATTTGTTGTTGTAACAAGAGATGAGAATCAGATCTCTTGGTGTTTGTGATGACTTTACCTTCCAACTTCCTACCAACTGTCTTATGTTAATGGAAATTACAGAAACCCATTTGATTGAAACTTGGCAACAAAGAGAATGCTCTGTGTAAGTTTCTGAACCAATATTTCTTTTTTGATTTTTCTCCGTTTCCTTTGTATCTGCCAGGAAATGCATTTAATTATTCACTATCGATGTGACTTGGGCAACAGATGAGATGAATAAGGGCATTTTGTTGATATGGGGCAGTATTATGAGATAAATATGCAATATTTTGCTGATAATTCAAAGCTTAAGAAACATGGCTGTAAGGTGAGAAAACACTATCTCTAACTTAGCACAAAAGTATTGGCAAAATGTGAATTATGCCATTTTTACGTTTTGTTTCTCCATCAATTTGATGACTTTGTATCTGTATTCAGTTTTAAGTTTTAACAGGTTTGACCACCTAAGCTGTCTCCACCACCACCATATCCCTTTAGTTTTCTAATTGTTAATTCAGTTTGTTATGTAATTTTGATATATTGTTCATGTTTGGGTAGTGTTTGAGTATTTCTAGTTTAAGCCTCAATCTAAAACTGTGATGTGTACAGGTTTTCTGTTTTCTTAAAAAAATAGAACAGAGACTTTGGCACATCTTTTCTCAAATCGGCTGATTCCTTTGCTGCAATGTATGTCCCTCTCCTTATTGATTGTTTTTTCATAAATTTTATGCTAATTTTTTTGGGTACATGTATGTTTGTGGATACTGGTGATTTTGGATATAAGGTTAACAGTTGATCCTACGTTTCTTTTATTTGTATTGTCACAGAGGTCAAGGCCCTCCTACTGCAAACTCTCCTTCTTTTGGTCCTTCACTTTGAGCTCAAAATGGTTAGCGTGCTCCATTATAGCCTTTAGTACAGTTGGAGTTGGATTAATAAATCTAATGGTTTCTGATGCACTATTGATGGGTTACTGATACAATATTGACAAATTATGCACGTGTTATTACTGATAAAATAGACTAGAGTGATAATCTATTCACCTGTTGTTGACAAATTATTGATGGCTTCTTGGCATTCATAAGTATCCTAAAAGGTAGCTTCAACTATGATTTGTGAAACTAAAATTTTAACTTTGGGAAATTTGAAGTAATAATTGGAGGAAGAGTTGTTGTAAGGGAGAGTAATGGTGGTCAACATAGTAGTATTGGTAGTATAGAAATAAACTTGACTTTGAGAAATTATTTGAAATTTGTATATGTCAAAATTATATTTTAAGGCTTAAAAGATGAAGGAAATGTGATTAGAAGTTTGTAGGATTTTTTGGTGAATGTGTCTAATTTTGTATGAATTTATTATGATTTTTGGAAGTTAAAGCATTGGAAAATACTAATAAATTAAAGAGAATGACACATAGCAGTGTCAGATTGGTGCATCATCAGAGTTTTTGACATGTGTCAGTATCATGTAGCAATACGTGTCATCACAGGTTCATTTTTGTATCTTAAACTTAAAAAATTCACACAAAAAAATGATGAAAAATCAGAAAAATGCACCAAAAATTTATAGAAACTTATTGATATCTGCCAATGATAACAAGAGCAGTACTGATAGCACCTCCCTTCCAGTTCCTTTACTAGTAAGGGGAGCCATCACCATGGCACATTATCTTCGACTATGATGTGTGAAAATAAAATTTTGAAGTTGGGAAATTTGAAGTAATAATTGGAGAAAGAGTTGTTGTAAGGGAGAGTAATGATGTTCAACATAGTATTATTGTTAGTATAGAACTTTCAGAAATTATTTGAATTTTTTATATTTAAAAATTATATTTTCAACTTAAAAGATAACAAAATGCCACAAGGAATTCATAGGATTTTAACGATATTTTGTTGTTGTTGTAGCTCATCATCTTTTGAAACAGATGTGGCTGCTTCAGTTACTGAGAATATGCACCCTACCTAGAAGACGCAGAATAGTGAACGTATTGTGCAGCCTAATACGACAAAGGCATTTTTTGCAAGACTTTGATTTAATGCACGGACCCTGCATTTGAGTAGTTATCGTTACATTTTCACATGATTGTTGAGTTTTAATCAATCGTTTGTGAGACTTTTTTTTTTGGTCTGAATCGTTTGTGAGACTTATGTATGTTCATATCTGATACTGAAGGTTAATCTAAAATTGACATAAACTAGCCTGTACTTGTGTTGAAGCCATAGTGAATCCATTGGGAAACAGATAAACACACTCAAACATGCTCCAAAGTAATCTGAGAAGCTGAAACCATTTTTTGAAGTCGAAAGCAGTCAATAGAGTATCAACCGGCATTCTGCTGTGTCAGTCAGTTGTTCCATTATGCTCCATTAAGCTCCAATCTTGGTTATGAAAATTTGGATCTAAAAGTTGATGTGCATGTGGTGGAGGATTTGCCTCCATTTTTAAGCTTGTAGAAAAAAATGAAAATGCATTTCTAATAGTGTAATACGATGCTCAAAAAATGGAGACACCCAAAGCGGATGGAGACATTCATTCCGTGCTAAGTTGGGAATTCACACCTAAAGCAATAGTTCTGTGCTCCATATTAAACAATGTGCTCTCACAAGTTGTTTTCATACTACAAAACCCTTATCTTGCATTCATGCATGGAAAAACTTGGATGCAACAACCATTATGTTGTAAGTAATACAAAGGACATATAATTGAAACCAAAAACCTTTCTTCTGATACTCTGTTTAGCAAATTTTAACAAAAATTTAAAAAACAAAGCAGATGAGCCAGCAACATAACACAAGTAAATGAAACGATGAGTTCGAATAAAATTGAACAAGAAAATGATTTTAATGTATGAAAGTGGTTGTTAACCTCCGATGTCCCAACATCTGTTGGAAATTCCTCTTTAGTGTGATGTCAAGATATGCGGCTGGTATTTTTCCCTTTGCAAAGCACATGGATGAATGTATGGAATATGCATGCATGGTCATTAATTTCGGCGCCTTGGGTTTCCTCTTTAGTGGAGGAATATTTTTTGTATTAATGATGTCTTTGGTGGGAGACAAGGTGTAATGATGGGCAACATCATTATGGTTTCTTTAGCATGCACGTGGCCTGTTTTTTGGGAGTTGAAAATCAGCCTTTCTTTTATGGTTTTTTTTACCAACATAATAGTTACCAAATTTGCAGGCAACCAGAGCTTC